TAGTCCCAGAAAAATGAGCCCCATTATGTTATATTTATGCCAGCTAAACTAGCTAGGCAATGCTCTGGACTCCTGAAGGATCCCCCACAGGTCAGGTTGTCTCTGCTGCACCAAAGTTGGTTTTTCTCTTCTTTAGTAATAGAACTTCTCAGTCAAGCTGAGCTAATGGCAATTAGGTTTCTTCTGCACTAAAGCTGCATAACAAGCAACTCCAAAATCTCAGTGGCTTACAAATTAAAAAAAGTGATTTATTTTTTTTTGCAGGCCAACAGAGGAAGCTCTGCTTCAGGCTATGAATTGAAGGTTGCTTCACTTGTCTCTCATCCTCTGGACCAATGGCTACTTGGGGCACATTCTCATTGAGGGTGACAGCTGCGCCAGTGGTACAAGCACAAATACAATGGACCACTTAAGGCTTCAGCTTAAGTGACAAATTCACTTCTGTCCACATCCCATGGGCCAAAGTCCAACATTGATGGGATGGGGAAGTCCTCTCCACCTTGGTGAACCTTGCCATGGTCAGGAAGGGGAGGAAGAATTGCAGGTAGATAATTAAATTGACCTCAGCCTCCCTTGCTGCTTGGCGTGTCCTTGCAACTAAGTTCTGGCTAGTGGGATGTGGTGGGAGGTGATGCGTGCAATGTCCAGGTGTTGCCCTTGTAAAGACTGGGTATGCACTGCCTTTCCTCTACCTATCAGCTAGGGTCACAGTGAGATCGCAGCAGTCACCTGGCCTAGAGCAAATGGCACAGGTGTCTGGCCAGTTCTGCCTCTGGACTGTTACATATACCTCTTTTTTATTGAATTTGTTGGGGTGACATTGATTAATAAAATTATATAAATTTTAGGTATACAGTTCTACAGCATATCATCTGTATATGGTATTATGTGTTTACCACCCCAAGTCAAGTCTCCTTCCCTCACCATTTATCCCCCATTAACTTCTTCTAACTCCTCCCAAGTCCCTTTTCTCTGGTAATCACCATATTGTTGTTGTGTGAGTCTGTCTTTTTTGTCTTTACTTAATAGTTTCATCCTTCTCACCCAGCCCCAACCCTCTCACCTCTGACAGCTGTCAGTCTCTTTTCTGTATCCATGAGTAGGTTGCAATATTGTTTATTAGTTTATTTTGTTCATGTACTAGTGAAATCAAATGGTACTTGTCTTTCTCTTACTGGATTATTTCAATTAGCATAATAATGTTCCAGTCCACCCATGCTATTGCAGAGGGTAAGAACTTTTTTACACTGGCATAGTATTCTATTGTGTAAAAGTACCACAGCATTTTAAAAAAATGTACCCTATCATTTTATTCATTTATTTTTTCTCATTAAATTGTTTACTTATTGTGTTTATTTTTAAAATTATTTTTATTAATTTGTTTTTGTTACGAATGTTTCTCCTTTTTTCCCCCATTGACACCCTGCTCCCCATCCCCCGCCCCATCCCCAGCTTTGTTGTCTATGTCCATTGGTTATGCATACATGCATATAAGTTCTGTGGTTTATCTCTTCCCCCACAATACCCCTTCTTCTGAAGTTTGTCAGTCTGTACCCTACCTCTATGTCTCTGGGTCAATTTTGTTCATCTGTTTAGTTCATTATATTCCACAAATAAGTGAGATCATGTGGTATCTGTCTTTCTCTGCTAGGCTTGTTTCACTTAGCATAATACTCTCCACGTCCCTCCATGTCATCTCAAAGGATAAGAGTTCTTCCTTAAAGCTACATAGTGTTCCATTGTGTATGTTTACTACAGCTTTTTTATCCACTTATCTACTGATGGACACTTGGGTTGTTTCCAGATCTTAGCTATTGTAAATAGTGCTGCTATGAACATAAGGGTACATATATTCTTTCTGGATGGTGTTTCAGGCAAGTTAGGGTATATTTCTAGAAATGGGGTCACTGGGTCAAATGGCAGTTCAATTTTTAGCTTTTTGAGGTAATACCATATTGTTTTTTATAGTGGCTGCACCAGTCTGCATTCCCACCAGCGGTGTACTAGAGTCCCTTTTCTACACACCCTCACCAACACTTGTTCGATGATTTGTTGATGGTAGCCATTCTGACAGGTGTGAAGTGATACTTCATAGTTGTTTTAATTTGCATCTTTCTGGGGATTAGTGACATTGAGCATTTTTTCATATGTCTCGGCCATTTGTATGTCCTGTTTGGTGAGGTGTCTGTTTAGTTCCTCTGCCCATTTTTTAATTGGGTTCTTTGTCTTTTGTTGAGTTGTATGAGCACTCTATATATTTTGGAAATTAATCCTTATCTGATGCATCATTGGCAGTTTGGTCTCCCATATAGTGGGTTCCCTTTCCATTTTGATGATTGTTTCTTTTGCTGTGCACAAGCTTTTTAGTTTGATGTAGTCCCATGTGTTCATTTTTCCCTTTGTTTCTCTTGCCTAAGGTGTTGTATCAGTGAAAATTCTGCTGCGTACGATATCTGAAATTTTATTGCCTACATTTTCTTCTAGGATTTTTATGGATTCACGAGTTATACTTAAGTCTTTTACTCATTTTGAGTTTATTCTGGTGTATGTTGTAAGTTGGTGGTCTAGCTTCATTTTTTTGCAAGTAGTTGTCCAATTTTCCCAACACCATTTATTAAAGAGACTGTCTTTACTCCACTGTATGCTCTTGCCACCTTTGTCAAATATTAATTGAGCATATTGTCTTGGTTCAATTTATGGGGTCTCAGTTCTATTCTATTGATCTATATGCCTGTTCTTGTGCCAGTACCAGGCTGTTTTGATTACAGTAGCTTTGTAGTATAACCTGATATCTGGTATTGTGAGCCCTCCTGCTTTGCTCTTCTTTTTCAAGATTGCTGTGGCTATTCCGGTTCTTTTTTGACTCCATATAAACTTTTGGAGTGTTTGTTCTAGTTCTGCATTGAATCTATAGATTGCTTTGGGTAGTTTGGACATTTTAATGATGTGATTTCTTCCAATCCATGAATAAGGTATGTGCTTCCACTTTTTTATATCTTCCTCTCTCTATATATTTTTTAATGACCTGTAGTTTTCTGTGAACATGTCCTTTACTTTTTTGGTTAAGTTTATTCCTAGGTATCTTACTTTTTTTGTCACAATGGTAAATGGGATTTTTTTTTTTTTTTTAGTTTCTCTTTCTGTGAGTTCATCATTGGTGTATAAGAATGCCATCAATTTTTTTATGTTAATTTTGTATCCTGCCACTTTGCCAAATTCATTTATTAAGTCTAGTAGATTTTTGATGGAGTCTTTAGGGTTTTTTATGTACAATATTATATCATCTGCACATAATGACAGTTTCACTTCCTCCTTTTCAATTTGGATCCCTTTTATTTTTTCTTCCTGTCTAATTACTGTGGCTAAGACTTTCAGTACTATGTTGAATACGAGTGGCTAAAGTAGGCATCCCTGTCTTGTTCCCATTCTTAAGGGGAATGCTTTTAGTTTTTGCCCATTGATTATGATATTGGCTGTAGGTTTTTCATATATGGCTTTTATTATGTTGAGATATGATCTCTCTATTCCCACATTGCTGAGAGTTTTTATCAGAAATGGGTGCTGGATTCTGTTGAATATTTTTTCAGCATCTATTGATATGATCATATGGTTTTTATTTTTCATTTTGTTTATGTGGTGTACACATTTACTGATTTGCTAATATTGTACCATCCTTTCATCCCTGGGATAAATCCCACTTGGTCATGATGAATAATTTTTTTTATGTATTCCTTGATCTGATTTGCTAATATATTTTTAAGGATTTTGGCCTCTGTGTTCATCAGGGATATTGGCCTGTAGTTTTCTTTCTTTGTAGTGTCTTTATCCGATTTTGGAATTAAAATTATGCTGACCTCATAAAACTAGTTTGGAAGTCTTCCCTCCTCTTGGATTTTTTGGAATAGTTTGAGGAGAATGGATATTAGATCTTCTTTGAATGTTTGGTAAAACTTCCTCATGAAGCCATCTAGGCCTGGGCTTTTGTTTGCTGGGAGAGTCTTGATTACATCTTCAATTTCCTTTGTTATTGGTCTGTTCAAGTTTTCTATCTCTTCCTGGTTCAGTTTTGGGAGGCTGTATGTTTCTAGAAATTTGTCCAGTTCTCCTAGATTGTTCAATTTGTTGGGGTATAATTGGTCATAGTATGTTTTGATGATCCTTTTTATTTCTGTGGTGTCAGTTGTTACTTCTCTTTTGTTTCTGATTTTGTTTATTTGGTTTCACTCTTTTTGTTTTTTGGTGAGTCGAGCTAAAGGTCCATTGATCTTGTTTATCTTTTCAAAGAACCAGCTTTTTGTTTCATTGATCTTTTGAGTTGTTGTTTTTTAGTCTGTCTGTCATTTATTTCTGCTCTGACCTCTAATGTTTCCTTTCCCCTATTAGATCTGGGTTTTTCTTTTTGTTTACTTTCTAGTTCTTTAATGTGTAGGATTAGAAAGTAAATTAGGAATTTTTCTTGTTTCTTGAGGTAGGCCTGTAGTGCTATGAACTTCCCTCTCAGAACTGCTTTCACTGTATCCCATAGATTTTGTGTTGTTGTGTGTTTTTCTTTTTCATTGGTTTCCAAGAAGTTTTTAATTTCCTTTTTGATCTCGTTAGTAACCCATTTGTTGTTTAATAACATGCTATTTAGCGTCCCAGTGTTTGAATGTTTTTTGTTTTTTTTTAAATGTGATGGGTTTATTTTATTTTACTCTGATGCAAAACCAAAGATTGCACTACAGCACAGAGACCAATATATTAAAAGGTCATGAAAAGTGGTGTGGGACATGCAGGATGTGATGTACAAACTGGAGGATCAAGTTATTTCCTTTACAACATGACACTACATTGTCGCTGAGGAACACATTTAAATAATACTGCAGAACTGAACTGAAATGTGGCACACACATGACAACTTCCAGGCATGCCTTCAAGCACCTCCCTTAGGATGGACTTGCAATCTCTAGACTTCAGTGTGGGGAGGATTACCATTCTTTGGAAGAATAAAAAGTTCACACTTTTGAAATTTCAGAGAAGAATTTTAAGGCCAAAACATAGTGGGTTCATTTCTCTTCATCTCCAGGGAGAAATCTGATGCTTTATTCAAAACTGCATTAAGCTTCTAGTTCAAATCCCAACCCAACCTTGTGACCTTCAGCATTGAAGTTCTTTCCATCGATTAAAGCTGATAGGGTCAGTTTAACTCCTGGTCGAAGAGTCTGAGTATAACCCAGTCCGATCAGGCTGGCATTATTTACTTTAGCAGAGAGAGAAGTTCTACAGTCCAGCTTGTATTTAGCAGCAATGCCAAAACGGGTGTTGTTACTGCCAGCTGTCCAAGCAAGGTTTATTGATGTTTCAATCTTCTCATTAACCTTCTGGTAGATAGACCCTCCAAATTCAGTGCCATCATTCACATGAGTGTGCAGCTGGAAGTCTGCAGCCTTGTAACCCAGGGCGAAATTATTCTGTGACAGTTTAGACTTGGCTGTGTCAAAACTCATCTGATAACCAGCAAGCCAGCCTTCAAAGGCTAGCACAGCCCAGCCATAGATGGTTGGGCCAGAAAAATCTATATCAACATTACTGCCAAGACTGAAACAATCCCGTTTGTAGGAGGCCTTCAATTTCCCACTCTTCTTTCCTGTGTTCGGTACAAATGTGGTATCAAGAGTCAGTTTCAACCCTTCAGCCAACTTATTCTCCAAAGAGATTTCTGTTCCAAGAGTATTGTCTGTGTTCCATTTTTGAGTGAAGGTAAGTCCATAGTTACAGACCTTGTATTTGGTCTCTAGGTTGCCTGATGCTTTCCCTGTGTCAGTATAAGCATGACCAGAAGTAGAAAATTCCACTCCACTACATGACTTGGTTCTCAGATCTATTTTAACCATGCCAAACCCATATCCTTTGTTGAAGACATCCTTGGCAGCCTTTCCTAGGTCACAGTAAGTTGGTGTGTTACACATATCTCCACCCAGAGAGCAGGTCGCTGCTCCGCCAGGGCAACGCTGAAGGTCTTCTTCAACCAACGCCGACCGTGCCTGCGCGGCCTTACTCCCCCCGCGGCGCCTGCACGCCCCTGCTTCCCCTCGCACCGCGGTTGCAACGTGGTGTCACACCGGGGTCGCGCGCCGAGGAGCTGCGTGCGGGGAGGAACAACTGGTGAATGTTTTTTTTTTTTGTGTTTTTATTGTAATTGAGTTCTAGTTTTATGCCACTGTGATCTGCGATGGTTGATATGATTTCAGTCTTCTTGAATTTGTAGAGAGTTGCTTTGTGTCTTAACATGTGGTCTATCTTTGAGAATGTCCCATGTGCACTTGAGAAGAATGTATATTTTGCAACTTTCGGGTGAAATGTTCTGTAAATATCAATGAAGTCCAAGTGATCTAGTTCATCTTGTAAGGACTCTATGTCCTTGTTAATTTTTTGTCTAGAAGACCTATTTAGTGGTGTTAGTGGCGTGTTAAAGTCACAAGTCACCCATTATGATTGTATTGCTATTGATCTCTCCCTTGAAGTCCTCTAGAAGTTTATAAATATATTTTGGTGCTCTCATATTTGGTGCGTATATGTTTACCAGGGTTATATTCTCTTGTTGGATTGATCCCTTTAATATTATGTAGTGACCATAATTGTCTTTTATTATGGCCCTTGTTTTGAATCTATCTGGTCAGATATGAGTATTGCTACACCAGCTTTTTTTTTTTTTCATTTCCATTTGCTTGGAAATTTTTTTTTCAACCCTTCACTTTCATCCTGTGTGAGTTTTTTGTTTTGAGGTGGGTCTCTTGTAGACAGCATATATATGGGTTGCGGTTTTTTAATCCAATCAGTGACCTTATGTCTTTTGATTGGAGCATTTAAGCCATTTACATTTAAGGTAATTATTAATAGATACTTATTAGTTAACATTTTAATTTTATGCCTGTTTTCCTCTCTCTCTCTGTCTTTTTCTCTTTATATTTCTTCTTCTTACAACAGTCTCTTCAGCATTTTTTAAATTTATTTATTCTTTTATTAATTAATTTTTGTTACAGATGTTTCTCCTTTTCCCCCCACTGATTCCCCCCTCCCCTCACTCTCCGCCCTGTCCCCAGTTTGTTGTGCATGTCCACTGTTCATACATACATGCATATAAGTTCTGTGGTTTATCTCTCCCCCACCACTCCCTCTTTTGGGGATTATCAGTCTGTACCCGACTTCCACGTCTCTGGGACTACCCCATTCCTCAGACTGTTATGTTCATTATATTCCACAAATAAGTGAGATCATATGATACTTGTCTTTCTCTATTTGGCTTGTTTCACTTAGGATGATATTTTCCAGTTCCCTCCATGTCGTCTCAAAGGATAAGAGATCTTTCATTTTTACAGCTGCGTAGTACTCCATTGTGTATATGTACCACAGATATTTTATTCATCATCTACTGATGGACACTTGCGCTGTTTCAAGATCTTAGCTATTGTAAATAGTGCTGCTACAAACATGGGGGTACATATATTCTTTCTGATTGGTGTTTCAGGTATCTTAGGGTGTATTCCTAGAAGTGGGATCACTGGGTCAAATGGAAGTTCAATTGTTAATTTTTTGAGGTAACACCATAGTGTTTTCCATAGTGGCTGCACCAGTCTGCATTCCCACCAGCAGTGTACTAGAGTCTCCTTTTCTCTACACCCTCGCCAACACTTGTTGTTTGATGATTTGTTGTTGGCGGCCATTCTGACAGGTGTGAGGTGATACCTCATTGTTGTTTTAATTTGCATCTCTCTGATGATTAGTGATGATGAGCATTTCTTCATATGTCTCTTAGCCATTTGTATGTTCTGTTTGGAAAGGTGTCTATTTAGTTCCTCTGCCCATTTTTTAATTGAGTTCTTTGTCTTCCTTTTGTGGAGTTGTATGAGCACTCTGCATATATTGGAAATTAACCCCTTATCTGATATGTCATTGGCAATTATGCTCTCCCATACAATGGGTAGCCTTTCCATTTTGATGATTCTATCTTTCGCTGTGCAGAAGCTTTTGAGTTTGATGTAGTCCCATGTGTTCATTTTCTCCTTTGTTTCTATTGCCTTAGGTGATGTATCAGTGAAAATTCTGCTGCGTATGATGTTTGAAATTTTGTTGCCTACAGGTTCTTCTAGGATTTTTATGGATTCATGAGTCACATTTATGTCTTTTATCCATTTTGAGTTTATTCTTGTGTATGGTGTAAGTTGGTGGTCTAGTTTTATTTTTCTGCATGTAGCTGTCCAATTTTCCCAGCACCATTTATTAAAGAGGCTGTCCTTACTCCACTGTATGCTCTTGCCACCTTTGTCAATTATAATTGAGCATATTGCCTTGGGTCCATTTCTGGGTTCTCTGTTCTGTTCCACTGGTCTATATGCCTGTTCTTGTGCCAGTACCAGGCTGTTTTGATTACAATGGCTTTGTAGTATAACCTGAACTCTGGTAATGTGATCCCTCCAACGTTGTTCTTTCTTTTCAAGATTGCTGTGGCTATTCGAGGCCTTTTTTGGTTCCATATGAACTTTTGAAGTACATGTTCTAATTCTGTGAAGTATGCTGTTGGTATTTTGATGGGGATTGCATTGAATCTATAGATTGCTTTGTGTAATATGGACATTTTAATGATGTTAATTCTTCCAATCCATGAACAGGGTATGTGCTTCCACTTTTTTATATCTTCCTCTATTTTTTTTCAAGACCTGTAGTTTTCTGCAAATAGGTCCTTTATTTCTTTGCTTAAGTTTATTCCTAGGTATCTTAATTTTTTTGCTGCAATGGTAAATGGGATTGTTTTCTTAGTTTCTCTTTCTGTGAGTTCATCATTGGTGTATAAGAAGGCCATCGATTTCTTTTTTTTTTTTAATTTTTATTTATTTATTTATTTATTTATTTATTTTTTGAATTTATTTATTTATTTATTTCTTTGTTACAGATATTTTACCTTTTTACCCCATTGGCCCCCCCCACCCCCCATCCACCCTGTCCCCGGCTTAGTTGTCCATGTCCATTGGTCATGCATACATGCATATAAGTTCTGTGGTTTATCTCTTCCCACCCTCCCACCCACCATCCCCTCTTCTGAGGGATGTCAGTCTGTGCCCTACTTCCATGTGTCTGGGTCTACTGTATTCCTCAGACTGTTATGTTCATTATATTCCATATATAAGTGAGATCATGTGGTATTTGTCTTTTTCTGCTTGGCTTCTTTCACTTAGGATAATACTTTCCAGGTCCCTCCATGTCGTCTCAAAGGATAAGAGATCTTTCTTTCTTACCGCTGCATAGTATTCCATTGTGTATATGTACCACAGCTTTTTGATCCATTCGTCTACTGGTGGACACTTGGGCTGTTTCCAGATCTTAGCTATTGTAAATAGTGCTGCTATGAACATGGGGGTACATATATTCTTCCTGATTGGTGTTTCAGGCTTCTTAGGGTATATTCCCAGCAGTGGGATCACTGGGTCAAATGGAAGTTCAATTTTTAATTTTTTGAGGTAGCACCATATTGTTTTCCACAGCGGCTGCACCAGTCTGCATTCCCACCAGCAGTGTATTAGAGTCCCCTTTTCTCCACACTCTCTCCAACACTTGTTGTTTGATGATTTGTTGATGGCGGCCATTCTGACAGGTGTGAGGTGATACCTCATTGTTGTTTTAATTTGCATCTCTCTCATGATTAGTGATGTTGAGTATTTCTTCATATGTCTCTTGGCCATTTGTATGTCCTGTTTGGAGAGGTGTCTATTCAGCTCCTCTGCCCATTCTTTAATTGGGTTCTTTGTCTTCCTTTTGTGGAGATGTATGAGCACTCTGTATATATTGGAAATTAACCCCTTATCTGATACATCATTGGCAATGATGTTCTCCCATACAGTGGGTTGCCTTTCCATTTTGATGATTGTTTCTTTTGCTGTGCAGAAGCTTTTTAGTTTGATGTAGTCCTATGTGTTCATTTTCTCCTTTATTTCTGTTGCCTTAGGTGATGTATCAGTGAAAATTCTGCTCCGTATGATGTCCGAAATTTTGTTGCCTACATTTTCTTCTAGAATTTTTATGGATTCACGGGTCACATTTAAGTCTTTTATCCATTTTGAGTTTATTTTTGTGTATGGTGTAAGTTGATGGTCTAGTTTCATTTTTTTGCATGTAGGTGTCCAATTTTCCCAACACCATTTATTAAAGAGGCTGTCTTTACTCCACTGTATGCTCTTGCCACCTTTGTCAAATATTAATTGAGCGTATTGCCTTGGGTCCATTACTGGGTTTTCAGTTCTGTTCCACTGGTCTATATGCCTGTTCTTGTGCCAGTACCAGGCTGTTTTGGTTACAGTCGCTTTGTAGTATAACCTGATATCTGGTATTGTGATCCCTCCAACTTTGTTCTTCTTTTTCAAGATTGCTGTGGCTATTCAGGGTCTTTTTTGGTTCCATATGAACTTTTGAAGTATTTGTTCTAGTTCTATGAAATATGTCGTTGGTATTTTGATGGGGATTGCATTGAATCTATAGATTGCTTTGGATAGTATGGATATTTTAATGATGTTAGTTCTTCCAATCCATGAACAGGGTATGTGCTTCCATTTTTTATATCTTCCTCTATTTCTTTTTTCAATGACCTGTAATTTTCTGCAAATAGGTCCTTTACTTCTTTGGTTAAGTTTATTCCTAGGTATCGTAAATTTTTTGGAGCGTAGGTAAATGGCATTGTTTTTTCAGTTTCTCTTTCTGTGAGTTCATCATTGATGTACAAGAATGCCGTCGATTTCTTGACGTTAATTTTGTATCCTGCTACTTTGCCAAATTCATTTATTAAGTCTAATAGATTTTTGATGGAGTCTTTAGGGTTTTCTATGTACAATATCATGTCATCTGCAAATAATGACAGTTTCACTTCCTCCTTTCCAATTTGGATCCCTTTTATTTTTTCTTCATATCTGATTGCTGTGGCTAAGACTTCCAGTACAATGTTAAATAAGAGTGGCGAAAGTGGACATCCCTGTCTTGTTCCTGTTCTTAATGGAAATGTTTTTAGT